AGTGCAATAACGAAGCAATATAATGCTAATTTGTTGATCTATTAAAATAATATAACCTGTTTAAATAAAACAAAAAAAAAATTAATAAATTAGTGGTGCGACTTGAGAAAAAATTCAGTAACTCTGCTTGAGTTATGTAATTAATATTATAAATAATAAATTAATTTAAATAGTTACCTTGTTTAGATGAATGTATCTTGCGTCTAAGTAGAGTTATCTGTTATCAGTTTTGATAACGCAAAGTCGGCAAACTGTTGAACCGAAGCTGTTAAATTCTCTTAAACTGTTAACGTATTTAACATGCTGTGAGAGCAAGGGAAATTTTAACAGCTCGCTTGTACAGCTGTTGAGTTAACAGCGACAGCACATGTTAAGGCAGTAACTGAGAGCAGGCAACAACAATATTGAAATTAAAGTAAAATGTCGCATATTAAATTACAAGCAGAATCGCTTTGATTGAAAGACATAATAAATAAGTAGTATTTTGGCAATGCATGATCTTATCATTGGTATTATTCTCATTTTTATTTTTATTGGCACTCGAATTCCGCTAAAGCAACGAAAAACGTTTACGTTTACTTTTACGTTGGCATTTGCATCACATTTGGTATTTATTTTTTTTATTTTATTTTTTTTTTTTTTTTTTTTGGTTATGGCCAAATTCCGCAAAAGTTTGACGGGCCTATAAAAACCGACTGTGTGTTAAGTAACTTGGCTTGTCACACGCAAGGGGTTTGGTGATAAACATAAAAATCGTTATATAGGCTCTGATGACATTATAAATTTATGATTGACTGGGCTGAGACGACACTGAAACATGGCCTTTAACTCCAAACGAAATCACAGCATTGATTTCCAGGCGAGATGACAGCATCTTCAAGTGTTTCCATAAAATTGTCACATGTCCTTGGCTGCCGCCAATTTGCAGCACTCACTTTTGGGACGGCATGGCTCATTAGGAAACGGCAAAAAAAAAAACATAAGCTAAATTATCGCATACTCAGAGCAACAATAAAAGTTCCAGCCAGAGCACTCATAAGCATGTAAAATACTTCTGCTACTCGACTCATTGCTGGGCTAGCACAGTGGGGCAAAAATATGAGAGATACGTATCTGAGAAGACTTCACGTGTTTTATAAATTGTCCCTCATTAAATACATTTGTGTTCTTGCACTCCAGCTGTAAGAAACTACACTTGGCCTTATTGCATTGCTTTGAATAGTGAAATAAGGGCACATATTTTATGGAGTGTCAAATATTTTTTGGTCTCATCTGAGTCGAAAGAGAGCAAAGCTGCAGCAGATTTATGCCTGAGTCCTGATGTGCCGGCATTAATTGCATTAATTTTTCTTAAGCGTCTACCGAAAACCTCTTTTTTGTAGCCTTGATTTTTGCTTAACTTTGTAGTCAACTTTTTTGGGTAGCCTTCTTTATGCCATTGTTACAATGTTACGGGAACGAGACAGCTGCGAAAGAGTTCCAGGTGGGAAGAAGGGTGCCTTGGATGGGGCGTCTCATGGCTCCCTGCCTGGTTAGCACACAAAGTAAGCTTTCATGGCAAGATACATTTTATTTTCTTCAGCTTTTGTATTTTTTGCTTTCCATCTTTTTGAACAATGCACACAAAAGTGTGAAGCAAATATTAAAGCAAATGTCGAACAATCATTGTGATTGCAAAACCAAACTAAAGTTCACACACTTTGACACACACACATATTTCGAATAGTGTTAGCTATTTTTGGGTGCTACTCAAATTTGATGGCCGCTAATCAGTTGATCAAGCAAACTGATTTGATGATGTATTCGACTCATTTGTATTTGTGTTTGGCTTGTGCATGAGTGACTGAGTATTAAGCGAGCATAAACAAACATATAATAGGCATGACAGATCTAAAGTTAATTACGGGCATTATTGTTTCTCAACTCGACATGTGCTACTAAGTACCAACTTATCGGCATAATTACCGCCTTTTGCCAGCCTTTAATTTGTATTTTCCCGGCCTGTGCCATAAGTCAAAGTATACATACATAGATATATATATATATATATAAATATATTGTTGTGTTGTTTTTGCGCTAAGTTGGACAGTGATTGATTAGCTGGCAGGTCAGCAGCTGTTTTTTTTCCTCGAATAGGATGTAATTCTGCTCGGCTCAAGGAATCGAATGGGTAATCAAAACTGACTTTTATGCAACTCGCAATCAGAAGTGCATGAAATTGTCTAAAGTGCACAGCATGAAATGCAAACTGAAGCTCAAGCTGCTTCCTGTTTATCTCATATAAACGATATCCTTTGGATTCAACAGCAGAATGCGAGTGCCGCCCCCAAAAGAAAAGTTTGTCATGTTGGTGGCAATAATTTAATAAAATTACTTTGGGGCGCCACATAAAAAGCAAACATAAAGCAAATACCCAAAAATTATTGTTATCGGGCTCTGGCACACTCACATACAGTTTGACTCACTGGCTGGACGGCATTTTATGGCAGCCACAAGGCTCAATCTGGTTGCCAGTTGCCAACTTTCATTGTTTTATGCAGCAGCATTTTGGGCTTATACAGAGCGAGAGAGCGAGAGAGAGAGAGAGAGGGGTGGCGAGAAATTGCTGTCATATTTGTCTCCATTTTGTGATTAAGCCTGATTTTCATTTAGATGATGGACAAGATGCCCAACCAGCTTGTTGAACCCCCACTCCGCTCACACCAACCAGTCCCTGGTATATTATATGTCTGCCTCGCGTGAGCTGTCAACAAACCATAAAAAGTTTTATTTATTTTAATGGTGTCTCGTGGCTTCAATTTTGCCAGCCAATTCTATACAGATGGTTGTACTTGTGTGTGTGCGTGTGTGTTCAGTGAGTGCTGAGTGTGCTGAGTGAATTTATACTTTCAATTCATATTACGCTTAGCATGCTGCTCTGCCGCTGATAACGCTGCAGCTTACATCTTAAACACGAGTAGTCAATTTGTAAGGAGTTTGCAACAGTATTCACGAGTTCCTCATATTGGGATCAATTTTGTCAAAGTTATGGCAGTGGATGTTCTAAGCTCTATGTTAAGTTTTCAATTTTATACGCTAAACCCATGAAAAATTGGAAACTTGTTAATGTTTCTGTGGTCTTCAATATATTTTTTGACCTTGAATCTGATCACCAGATTCAAATGTATACAAATTATGAAAAATCGCAGGCGTTTGAAGATCTGATCTTTTTTCACGAAGGCAGAAAACTATTTTTATATACAATTTTTACATGGGACATACATATAAAATAAAAGGGATTTATTTGCCACCTGTTTGCCGCTGTTATTAATAAATATTCAAACTGATAATTAATGTTGTTTAAAATGCTTTTACTTGCGACGTATTTGAAATGAATGTATAAGTAATTTATCAGACGTAATGCGTGTGATTTTTAATTTATCTCTGTCTTATGCCTGTATTTGTAACGCATACGTCTGATAAAGTGCACTTTCCGATGCCAATTCGTTGCATGCTGGAACAATAGTTCAACAGTGGGTATGATTAATGTGTTCGGTTGTTAACGGCGTATTGTGCTAGGAAATGGCTCGTAAAAGTGATTTACGGATTGAGCTTGAGCCTCAGTTGATTGCCTATCAAGAGTTCTGAAATTGTTTGAGCGACTACGTGTTTTCAAATTTAAAGATTAATTCAACTTTGGTGCCAGTGCTTTCAAAAATTGAAGCAATTAATATTTGTTGCTGTCACGCCCCAAGGTATTTTGAACCAATTTCGCTTGATTATTTAACCCTCTTATCGCCGTTCCAAAAATCTTGGAAACAATTCGCTAAGTAAGCGATGGCTGCCGCCCAAAAGCAGCTCAGCTCCATGGAGGGGGCAAGTGGGGGGACGACTCTGTGAGTACATTAAATCAAAATCATTGCCACAAGTGGGTGGCGCTGGGCGGCCATACAAACATACAAACCTTTTACATTATCAAAGGTGCTAAATTTGCAGCAAAGTGTCGTTGGCATCGCGAAATCAAATGCAAACAAGTGGAGCCGAGCATTCTGCTGAGCCTTTGCCAAGCACACACTACCCATTCCTCCTTCCCCATTCAACACTCCTCCTCAGCTCCATTGCGAATTCAATATTTGTGTGTGTGTGTATGTGGGTGTGTTGTTTGGGCTTCCCTTCAGTATGTGGGCGTAGACAGGCATAAATTTACACTGAGCTTCGAGCACAACGTGCTGTGTGGCAATGCCTAAAAGATTAAAGACGGCAGTCGACTCAGCAGACATCGTCTTTGCTGCTGTGGCATGGGAAAGCCAAACACCCAGTTCCATGCCGCGCCCGAATTTATACAACTTTCCCTAAAAAAAGGGGTGGACGTAACGCCTGCAGTCAGTATTTGCCAAGTTAGAGCTGCTGGGGAACTTTTGACTTTGATATATCTCAAACCCATTTCAAATACTCTCAAATTCACGGACTAGATGGCATTTTAGTACTCATATATATATATATATATCCATCTGACTCTCGCTCGCATAATCTAGCTAAGATACTCTGCCAGTTGTGTAGGGTATGGCTATGCGAGGCGAATGTCGACAGGTGTGTTGTCTTATCTTGTTGCCAACTTTATTGAAAATGTACCTGTGTTGCTCGGATGGTTGATACAGATCGCACTCAATTGAATAAAAACATGATATTCGATTTAAAGTATCAGGCCAATCAATAAATTTAAACGGAAACCGCTGCCACAAATAATAGAAAAACAGGATATTCGGATTTAAACATACAGCGTCCTCTCGGCGCATTTTCCTTACTGAGTTTAGATAGGAAAATGTCACTTGAATGGGAATGTAAAAGCAACTAATACCACTACACTCAAAAAGAGGAAGTTATGATTGAAATCGCGTCTTGTTATCGCATGCCAGATTTATGAATTCAATTTTTGTTTGTATTTTGCTTCTGCTTTCATACATTACATTGCATAGCTTAACGATTAAAAGTTTAAATTCCTCTTTAAACACACATTTCAGTTGATCAGCAATATGGTCTATCCGAAGGACATCTCGGACGCACATCATGAGGAGCTGTCACTGGACACTGCAGCTGCTGCACCGGTCAGCATAAATGGCGATGGCAAAGGACCACAAAGTCAACGTCAGTATGAGCCCCGAGAGCGTTTCATAATTACCAAAAATGTCGTTGTCATTGGTTTGGCATTTATGATACACTTCACGGCCTTCCATGGCACATCGAATCTGCAAAGTTCGGTGAATGCGGACAAGGCTCTGGGCACAACAACACTGGCTGTCATATATGGCTCACTCATCTTGTCCAACATATTTTTACCCATGACGGTGATTAGGTGAGTAACTAAACACTTTATCTTCCACATGGGTGCAGCACAAAAAAACACCCAGTTGTTGTTGTTGACTCTATAAAATGCGTGAATAATTACACACCAGTCATGTCTGCAGATGGCTTTCTATAAAATGCATAGTTTATAAATAGGGCGTTATTTAATTAATGAGAATAATGTGAGACCATAAATAGATGGATAAGGATAGTAATAGTCGGCGACAGAGCTGTTTAAACAAGTAGGACGCAATGTTATTTAAGGTTATTAATTGTGACAATATTAAAGTTTTTTTAAAGTTACTAATTTAAGAATCGATATTTTGATTCGGATTAGCTTAAAGTCTATTAAAAAGTCAAAGAACTTTTCAGTATTAGTATGCAGACACTTCAATAGCTCGTTATAATACGCCTATTAAAACTTTTGAGCAACCCAAGACGGTTGCCTTTTTTAATTTCTGATAAACATCTCATTGTCAAATAATTGCTTCCATTCGCATCGGGGAGTGTTGCCATAAATTCTTGGCGTTACCATAAATGTTTGCAATTGAGTGGCATTTTTATGGCGATTTTATGCAGATGTGACAGTCAAAAGGCAGTCAAAAGTCGACACTTAATACTTTGAGCCGATGCCCTGAAATGTTCGACTGCGAAATGTCAACAAGGAGAGACCTTTAGAGTTGGGTTTCTGTTCTCTTGCTAGGTTGCACATTCCCTTTTATCCCCCCTGGTGTTCCGCCCCTTTTTTTTTTAGGTTTTTGTTTTTGTTTTGGCTAGCTGCCAACCAGCTTGCACTGGCTGACATTTAAACAAATCGCTAATTTATAGAAAACGCTAGTAGCTTTCTCTCTCATTCCCTCTGCTGCTTTCTCTTTCTCTCTCTCGGTCAAATAAGGACAAAGTTTCGTCAGGCTTTTTCCGACCCGTTTAACTTATTCCAGGCACGCGCACTTCAAGCCGCTGGTCCTAAAATGCTGCTGCTGGCAACTTTAATCAGTTAACTCGATTTATTTAGATTTATGGCCGACCTTGCGTCATGGGCATGGGGCCAAAAAAACAAACAGCTAAGCATTAAGCTTCTACCACTTGCTCTAATCAACAGTTGGTTCGGCTGCCGTCTGACTATGGCCCTGGCCCTATTTGCCTATATGCCCTATATAGCTGCCCAGTTCTATCCGCGCTTCGAAACGCTCATTCCGGCTGCTCTGATGGTAGGCTTTGGTGGCGGACCACTCTGGTGTTCCAAATGTACATATTTGTCCACAGTTTCGGAGGCATTGACGCAGGTGCGTGGCAACAAATCGCGGAAGGATGTCAATACGGTCAAGTTCTTTGGCCTGTTCTTCATATTCTACCAAATGGCCCAGGTGTGGGGCAATCTCATCTCGTCGTCGGTGCTCACACTCAGCGCATCTACAACGCCAGCCAACGAGACACTTGAAATGGAGCCACTTGAGGCGAGCATTAGTCGAGTGGGTGAACTGTGTGGAGCTCGCTTCTGTCCAGGCATTGGCGCTGAAGTCAATCCCAATCTGGTGCCACCAGCACCCGAACAAATTCAGCTGCTCAACTCCATTTTCCTCACGTGCATGGCTGGCGCTGTCGTCATGATGATCTTTGGCGTTAGTTCCCTGAAGCGGTAAGATTAAACTAAAATTAAAGTATGCATTTGAAAAAAATATTTTTCTTCATCATATTATAAAATAGATTATGGAAATGCCATAACCTTTCAGATTTGTCAGTATAGAATCTGATTTGCATTAGGTTCCTCAAATTCTTTATGATAGTCTTATAACTACGCATTTTTTATTATTAATAGATATGGCGTCAAGCGCGGAGACACAGGCGATGGCATATCTGGCCTGAAGCTATTGACTGTTACCATTAATCTGCTGCGCAAACGTCGCCAGATTCTCATGCTGCCTATAACCATGTTTATTGGGCTCGAAGAGGCCTTTTTGGCCGTTGATTTTACACGCGTGAGTGAACTTCAAATCGTTTAAGCTGCGAGCGAAACTTGACTAAAATTCAACACTTTGAAAACTCACCACAGTCGTTTGTTGCCTGCGGTTGGGGCATATCGAAAATTGGCTTTGCTATGATTTGCTTTGGCGTTGCGAATGCGATTGCCGCGGGCATTGCTGGAGCTTTGGTGGAGCGAATTGGACGTGTCACACTAGCTGCCATTTGTGCGGTGATAAATATGTGCCTGTTGGCCTACATGTACAGCTGGGAGGCACGTGAGGGCGATTATCTCAGCTATTGCACTTTTGCCGCAATTTGGGGTATCTGCGATGGCATCTGGTTGGTTGTTGTCAATGGTAAGCGAGAATTTAGAAAGCTTTGACACCGACTTTAATTTGCTTGTCTTACAGCGTTCTATGGCATCCTGTTTCCCAACCACCTGATTGCTGCTTATAGCAACTTCCGTTTATGGGAGAGCACCGGTTCGGTTATCGGCTATGTCATCAGCTCGCAATTGTGCACTTCCACCAAACTAACGATTCTAATGGTTGTCATGATTGTTGGCTGCATCGGGTGAGTTCTTAATATTTTGAATATTAATGCATATTTTAATAGCATTGCTCTCTTTTCATAGATATGGTCTGATCGAATATCGTGTGTGGCAAAAGCAAAAGAACCTGGAGGCCATGTTGAGTGATTGAATTTCCGATTCTCTGCCATTTTAAACTTACTTGATGTGATATTGCCTGCCTACACTAAGAGCAATTAAGAACAATGTATCTAGTATTAGAAAATAGTTCATTATTTTTTATACTACCATAATGTTTCCATTTAAAAATAAAAATATAAGAATATGACGACTTCTCAACAAAAAAAAAACACTGCGTTTTCATATTTTAATGGATTTTTTTTTATTTTTTATTACAATTATTTAAATATTTGTTCAGTTTTTCATGATTTTGTTTCTTTGCTTTGTGTACCATTTGAATTTTGTAATTGAAATATTTATTTTTATGTTTGCGTTTTTTTTTCTTGCCATCATTTTAAGTTGCTACATAAATTTGCTTATTCTAAATTAGTGCGCTGCCATACATTTTAGTTGGTTTTAATTTCTATGTATTTTTTTTTTAAAGGTTGAGGGATTCGGGGTCTTTGATGGCCAAATGAGAATCGTTAATTGCTAGAGTTTATAATTTGTTAATAAATTGTTTAAATAAAATACACATTAGTATACACGTTATATTATAATATAGCCAGCGCATTAAATGCAATTAATTTTAGATCAGCGCTTATAATTTATAAAGAAATTCCATATTTTTTCTTTGCCATTTTGGTTTTTGCGCTTTGCCATACAAATTTTTAAATGTAAAACTCGTTTAGGTATGAATTTGTTATACATATATTTTCAGTGTTTTCTTGATTTGTTTTTTGTTTTTCTTTTGTATTTCGTATTTTAAATTTTTGGAATGGCACATCAATATCATAAAATGGGCCCTAAAAACTGCCTATAGACTTTAGACTACTTTTAGGCTATTTGGGATATGATTAATATTACTCGTAATGTTATGCGTAAATAGTATTAATTTTTAGTTAGGGGGCTCAGATGGTTGGGGAAGGATAGGGGAGGGGGTGTGGGGGGCATATGCTGACATTTATTGTAAATGCTATGACACACCTTTTTACATTACATGGCCTAAATGCTAAACGCTAAGTGTTTAAAACTATCACAAAATACACACAAACTATATACAGTATGTAGCACGTCCGTCCAGCAAGATGATGCCCCACCTAGACCATACCCTTGGACATCATGCGAACGGTATTTTTGAGTGCCTGCCGTTTGTTGCAGAACCAAATGCGAATCACTTCTCGCTCGTAGCCAAGTTGATGGGCCAGCCCAGTAATTTCCGTGCCTGCGAAGCGATATATATATGCAGATTAAGATATATATATATGTATGTATATGTAGATTGATATGTATATGTGTCAACTGAAAGTTACCACTCACCCGAAGGATGCGTATTGCGCTCAAAGTGCGCATTCAGCAGCTCTAGGGCCTGAGGGGTGAACGAGGTGCGACGTTTGCGTTTCTTCGACGGTTCCACACCAATATAGTCTGTCAGATGGTTCTGGCCCGATTTGTAGCGATTCCAGTGACTTTAAATAGAGCAAGAAATATAGTTCAGCATGGTTGGCTTTTTGTTTGGGTAAAACGGCGCGTGGAACTGCCTCCATACTCTCACCTCTCTTCGGCCTCCTTCATCCAGCGCTCCAGCACTGGCTTGATTTTCTGTGCACTCTTTGGTGTTATATCCAGTTTCTCGAACCTACATATAGATAGAGGATCTTAGTATTAAATGACTACTGACTCACTCTCTCAGTCTGTATGCGCTAGTTTAACGTAAAAGAAACGTAACTAAAGTGCCAGGACATTGTCAAGTAGCATACTTTTTAATCGCTTTTGTTTTTTGTTTTTTTTTTTTTTTTTGCCACAAAAATATACAAAATTTGCTAAAAATTGCTCATTGGCAATGCCCTGGCCAATTTAATTGGGATGTGTTTTTCTTCATTTTTTTAATTTTTTTTTTTTTGGAAAAGCGCATACTTATAACATAAAAATGAAACTAACGAAAACGTTTAATAAAAATGAGCTCTTTTGCACTTTAGTTAAGTTTCTTTCGCGCAGACACACACACACACACACACAATCATAACCGCACACACACACACACACACACATACACACACACACATACATGTTCTGTTGTTGCGTCGACAGCTGAGCGGCATACATCTGCGCAGCGAGTGCACTGCTTGCATTTTGGCATTTGGCATTTGACGTTTTTGGGTATTCGACAGTCGCAGCGTGGAGAGCGAGTGAAACAGTAGTAGTAGTAGTAGTAGTAGTAGTAGTGTGAGAAGGAGAGACAGTTGGCGATTTAAAAATAAATAAATCAAATAAATAAAATTAATTTTGCATTTTAGTTGTTTTCTTTTTCATTTTTTTTTTTTTTTGTGATTGTCACTTGTTTAAAACATTTAACTAATTAAGCATTATATTCGATATATCAATAGAATTAGGTTATATATATATTTGATTCTCTTTTTTTTATAGCTTGTTCAAAATGTCCTGGCACTCTAAGAACTGTTCCAGAAATGATTATAAAACATATTTAAATTAAAGCATTCTAAACCAAAATCAATTCAAATGCAAATATAGTTTTTTTTTTATTTATAAATTATAAAAATTGAAATATCCTATTGGCTTTTTACTCTATTCGTTTTTTTTTTTTGACGATTGATTTCCAGATAAATTATAAAAATACAGTAGTATGTTGAAGGAAACCAAAATATTTTATAGTATATTTTAAGAACATTTAAATCTTTTGCCATTTGTAATAACACACACATAATGTTAGTATAAACGTATATATGAAAAATCCTGGCACGGAAAATTTTAAAAGTGTAAATTAAGTAATGATTTTCAAAGATTAAAACTAAGATCAAAACACTAAACTGGAATAAGATCTTCTATATTATTAGAATCATTATCATTATTTTTAACTAAAAAAGATTCCAATTCAGCTTAAGCAGACTTCACAAAATTTAAGTTTTAGGCTACTTTAATTTTTGTTTACAAATACTATGAAATATTTTTAGATACATTTTTGTTTTTCTGCAGATTGTTAAAACTATTCCTATGATATAAATATTCATTTATAACTGACTGGTTCGCTACACATATTTATACTGTGTAAAAGATTGTTTGATGGCACAATTCGTGTCCTCCATTCATAGCTCACCTGCAAATGGCACTCTGGCTGTACGCTGGTCCCTCTGTCACCGATAGGGCCTGGCCCACCTGGGTCTGGGTGAGGCCCAGCGAGAGCCGTCTCAGTTTGAATGCTTTGGCAAACTCCTTGATCTCATCCAGGTCGATGCCGTCGACTACGTTGGTGGTGGCCTGATTGATGGTGGGTTCATCTGTGGAATACATTTGGGATTCATGGGTTAAAGTCAACGCGAGTTTAGCTTAACGGTACTTAAGTGCTAAGCTAAAATCGAAATGGAAAATGGAAAAACTATTTTGCTTTCTCTCTTTCTCTCTGTATAGCTATCTGCCTGTCGGACGTTCAGTTAACGGGCTCGGTTCTAGGTAATAACTGTCAATGCGAAATGACGACACAAATTGTCGTCTAGTCGAGTCGAGTCGGGTCTCTTAATTACAGTTAATTGCGGTAATTGCGAAATATTATTAGAGTGTCGTAGGTAAATTGATAAAACTAATTTGCCACAGCTCAGGCCGAGGCACTTATACTCGCAATTATTGCCATGTCACTTAGCTCTTGTTATGCTTGTCTAATAGGTAAACTAGCAACTTATTGCTTAACTTTATCTGCTTAATTTGTTAGCAGCTGTTGCTGCTCGACAGGCACAAAAATTTGATTTATTTATTAATGATATGCAAGCCGACAACAAGGAGACAGCGATTCCTTACAGCAGACACCAACGGCAGCAGCCAAAACCAAAGTCATTCACTTGACTGTAACTGCAGCCCCGGCGCTTTAGCGGTAATTAAGATGCACCCCCTATCCGTTCACTCCACTTTTAGCCTTGTCTGAATCCTTGCCACGCCATAACTTGGGCTGCTGCTGCTGCTGCTGCTGTTGTCGCTGCTTTGTTGTTGTTTGTTTGTTTGGCTTGGAGGAGTGAAATATGTCATTAAATACGAAAACATCTTAAGTTTTTGTATGCATCAATTAGTAGTAATTAAGCTGCATATTGTCTGCAATTTGTATGCGATACGACACTAGAGAGCTGCCATCAAGTACGAAGTAGCAAGTAACCAAAGCCAGCACAACCAACTGAGGCAAACGATCTACCAATGCAATTGAGACTAGGCAACGCAACGTACTAAACCAGTTAGCTGATGGTTTTAGCCGAGGGCTGCGAGCTGCGAGCTGCGAGCTGATGCCTCTACTTGGTACATCTTGTTGTGCTGATTGCATTTTTAATGCATTCAAAGTTTCAATTAAGGAGAACACATACATGCACATACAGAGTTATATTTTCTAGTGAGCATAACATTACTTGAACTGAGAATATTGGCAGCTATAATCAGAAACGATTTAAGCAAATAATATCAATGTGGAGAGCAGACTTGGAATACTCTTTACATGGCAAATAGTTAATTTAAATAATTACACTAGATGTTTACTCTAGCAATAGTTTAATCTTAAGTGCATAAATATTTAATACGTATTTATTGATTAATTTCACTGTGAAGATCGTCTAAAGATTCGTCATAATTTTTTAAATTATTTAATAAATTTATGTAGAACCTTAAATATGCATGAATTACCTTTAAAATTGAGAGGTTAGGTTGGCTCTTTCCCAGTAAAAATTGAATTGAATTAAGGGTTGGCACACAAAAATAACCTTAATATTTGGCAACACAATTAGTGAGGGTATTCCAGAACCACACACATAGAGACACACACACACACTCATGATGTAATGGCGAATAAGCACAGAGTTGGGATTAGGGCATACGAAATTGAAGTGGCAGGTGAAAAAAATTCAATTGGAGTTTGCTGTTGTTGCTTCTAATAATGTGGACTTGATGCAGTTGCCTGGTGATTTGATATTCCAGGAGCTGGCCCCAAAAAATTCATGCCTTTGTGCAGCGAGGGCAACGAGTGATATACATTTGCTTTCAAATCAACAGCAAGTCATTTGATGGCAACTTTTTCAACATTAATTAACGCAGTTCGAAAGCAGAAAGCACATGTAAAACTTTTGGCTGCGTTTTAAATAAAAACAAACCCTAACAAGTTCAAGAGATTTTGTACAATTTTCAAGCTGTGCGAGGGGAATATCTATCTATTTAGTAGTTCTTCGCCTAGCCCGAGTCGTCAAGTGTGCAAAAGTTTTGCTGTGCATTTACACGACTTCTCAGGACATGATTCATAATTGATGCAGCCGCGAGCTGCTCGACGAGCTCGACTCCAGCCAAAGATTTTTGGCAAAAGTTGAAAGATGTCAGCCGTAAGTGTTGGGCAAATTAGCAGCAACGTTGAAGCTGTCACGCATCGCAGATGGTGTCGTGAACTGAAATGGACCCTAACTGGATGGGAAGACCTGTCGGAAGACATTTGACTCAGCTCTTTGCGATTAGCTGCAGCAATGCAGACATTAAATCCAATCATTACTCACAGAATTTTAAAAGCATTTAGCATTAAAGTTCATTTAAAGTTATTAAAATAATGTGAATAATCTAGGACGAATATCTTCTGCTGTTAATTCAAATGAAATCAATAATTGTTAATAACTTAACTTTTAGGCTTAGTAAGCTTAAACTCAAAGCCAAGTTTGCCTTTAAGTATTATTGTATTGTATTAAGTGAGCTCTAACTTAACTATATTCGTAAAGTAGCTAATTAGGTAGGCAAGAAAAGAATCGATCTTTACTCACTCGGTGAATCCATGAGCAGGTCGTTGTCATTGTCATTGTCATTGGGTGACAGATGCGGCGGTTCGCTGCGGGATGAGGGGCTCAGCTTGAGGGGCTGCATGAGAGAAGCACCCGATGTGGATGGCATCAGCACGGGTGAATCGTCACGCGGCGAGGCGGATGAGGCACGCGTGGCTGTTGCAGTTGGCGGGCCCAAGGATTTCGTGATGGTCAACTCGCCATTCGAGGCACTGAGTCTGGAAGAGATGTCAAAATTCTAGACTGATTTTGATCTAAAGATGACCTCTTGGTAAGTGCTCACCTGTTGATGCTGCTAAGTACATTGCCCGCGGAACTGGACGCAACTGCTGCCGCTGTGCAGTTGGTGGTTCCGCCGGAGACGCCACTGGAGCCACCGCTCAAACTTGGTCCATTGCCCAGATAGTCGCGTTCCAGTCGAGGCGAGGTGCCCATATTCAGGACATGCACCGGTGGCGAGTGTGTGCGAAACAGTGGAGATGAGTAGCCTCTTTCATTGCCACCGCCAGGTGGAGCTGTCGCCGATGAAGTGGGCGTCAAACGGCCCGTTGGATTATTCCCTGAACCTCTTTCGTGTGGCAAATGATGAACTGATCCGGCACTCGACCCGCTCAGCCCAGTGCTCGCTCTCGTCGCCGTCGCTGTCGGCGTGTGCGAGCGTCTCTCCATGCGCTCGTGATGCTGGCTGAGATTCATGCCTGTGCCGCGTCCTGGACTGTGCTTGGGTGAGCTGCCAGCCGCACTGCGCAGATTGTGTCCGAAATGATGGCGAGCCAGCGCAGATGCCGAAGGCGGCAAGGCTGGCGGGGAGACGCTGCTGCTGCCGCTGCTCAGCTCCAATGGCTTCAGTTCCAGTTGCGGGGCCGTCAGCTCATCGGGATGCCGCAAACTGATTTGCGGATGTGTCGATGACTGGCTGACAGCTGTCGAGCTTGTCGTTCCATGCAGATGATGATGATGATGTAGATGCGTCTGCGTCTCGGGCTTTATGTGCAGCTGTTGCTGCAGCAGAAATGCAGCTGCTGGCGGCGGTGGTGGTGGTGGTTGCTTGCTCGGCAGCGCCGGACTGCCCACAGTTGGTGAGCCACTCGGTGGCGTTCGTTCCGCCGAGCGTCTCAAATCGGCGGCAAGGTGGGCATGTGGCAAGTGACTCGCTGCTGCGGCGGCTGCTGCTGCTGCAGCCAGCTGTTGTTGTTGCTGCTCCCGCTGCTGTTGCTGATGGTTGGCAGCGGCAGCGGCAAACAGCTCCGGATGCAGTGCCGTCAACAACTGCTGCACGCCCGTCGAGAACAGATTGGGCTTCAGTAAATTCGTGGGTGTTTGCGCCAATTGTGGCAAGGCCGTCGCATGCTGCATGGCAGCCAACGGTGGAGCCAACAATTCACGCTGCTGTTCGCGTTGTTGTTCACGTTGCTGTTGCTGCTGCTGCTGTTGTTGCTGCTGTTGTTGCTGGTAGCTGGCAAAGGCGCCAAATGCGTTGGGTAGAAACTGTTCGCTGGTGGGTATCTGTGGACTCACCGGAATGGTGAGAATGGTCTGAACAGCAATGCCTAAAAAAGTCAATTGTACAAATAATTAGTTTGAAACTTTTGTTTTGAGTAGTAGAACAATTTTGGTACAAAAATATATCTTTTATTCATTTCCAAGAGTTATGTTGTGTCCGTGAGAGACGGACAGCCTGGTTGTCTGGTTGTCTGGTTTCCTATCAACCAGTGTCCGGTAATGACTCGATTAAGCCGCGTTTTTCGATCGGCAAAGATCAGGCATGGTAAATGATTGCCACTTCCATTATGAATTTCATCCTCATTAAATGATAATAAACTTGAAATAGATATCAAATCGAAAACCTCAAAAGAAGTCGAGGGCTGCATTTGCTATTCTTCAGTCAAATGAATATGATTTTCATATTTATAGATGATAAAATCAATATAAGAACTTTGTAAGTCTCAAACATAATTTGTAATTCATTTCATTCGCTATTTTTAATCTGCCAAGAACGGTGCACTGTTAAATCTGCGCAAAAGTCGAGGAAATTGAGAGCACACTAATCGCTTTAGCATTGGCTTTAATAACCAACGACTTTGGCTGCGGCCCGGGCCAGAGTCAAGTGAAGTCAACTATGTTATTGATACCCAGGCAACTAAAACTAATCCCACACAGCACACAACATGCATGTGTAGTTATTTGTTTTGCACCCACCTTGCGCTGTGGGTATGAGTAGCTGGGCACCCTGGACGCCCTGCACCAGCTGGCCGGAGGCGAGTATCAGTTGCGGCATTTGGGCGCTCGCCGGCGGCGCTTGGAGCGCTGGCGGTGGCGATGCGGTCGCCGCAGCCAAAACATTGGCCAGCGTCGTCGCGTTGAGGGGATGCGCGTGGGGTGAGCTGCTGCTGCTGGGATTATCCTGCGGCTGTTGGCTGGATGAGTTGCCGGGGGCTGAGCTGTTGCTGTTGCTGCTGCTGTTACTATTGCCCTTTGACGTCTTGTGCTTGTTGTTGCCATTGTGGCAGCTGCTGTTGTTGCTGTTGTTGTTGTTGTTGGGCGAGGTACTTGCTGCTGTCGCCGCCACAGCAGCTGCTGCTGATGTTGAGGTGACTCCGCCAACTGCTGCTGCTGCTGCTGCTGTTGTTGTTGTTCCCACAGCCTCGGCGCCAACGCTCAAATTCAATGGTGAGTTAAACACGGAGGCAGCTAAGCCCTGAAGACTTGCTAGTGCTGCTGCCGTCGCCGGATGATGATGGGAATGATGTGAATGTGAATGTGCATGCGGATGTTGCTGTTGTTGTTGCTGCTGCTGCTGTTGCTGCTGCTGTTGTTGCTGTTGTTGCTGCTGCTGCTGATGTTGCTGCTGCTGTTGCAGAGTGGCCAAATTTTGTAATTTTTGCAAATTTATCATGTCTTGCACTGAGAAGATAAACGAGAAAAGACATACGGAAAATGTTGTCATTAGTTTTTGGGTTGAGCCAGTTAGCCAAATTAGTAGAAATTTCACAAGCGTTGGTTGGGGCATGTTGGAAAGCAGCCCTAAAAGCTGCGCAGCACTAATTGCCACAGTACTTTACTGAGGGGGCCAAAAGTGTGAGTGTATTATTCAGAGACGGAAACTAGATGCTTAGAATACGAAAAACATAAAAGAGACTAGTTCTAGTAATATTTTTATATAAGAAAGATCCTAACTAAACTTTAATATAAATAATTTGGAATATATTTGAAAAAATAAGTGCCACAAGCTAGACTTTGGCAATCTCAACATAATTTATATGCCAATAAAGCTAAAGCTACAAAATATCTATCTTTTTTTTTGTATTCCAACTTGTTCCATCTCTGTTGTGAATTGGTTTGAGTTTGGCTTTCGATATGTACTCACTAGTTCCATTTAGATGCGCTGCAAATGCCTTGGCCTGAGCCTGTTCCTCGCGTCGCAGACGCATTGCCTCGGCCGTGGGATCCTCCGCATCGTCATCGTCCACATCGATTTGCATGGGCAATGGCGAGGCGGAGTTTGTGTCGCGCTGATGATGATTGGCCAGCGAGGCAGCCTTGGCGGCTAGATTCTTATAGAACTCCAGTTCCTTGACATGATCCTTGGTGTCGTAGCCTGAGTGGGTGGAGTGTGCGGGCGAGAGCAGCGTTGTCTCCATATCTTCTTCATTGCTATTGATGTGGTTATGGTGGTGGTGGTGCTGCTGCTGCTGCTGTTGCTGCGGCTGTTGGTGATGCAGGGGATGGTGTTGGTGGGCGTGGCTGCTACTGCTGGGCGAGAGGATTTTGTTGCAGCTAATTTCCTTGTCGTAGTCCTGCAACAAGAATAGAACATACAATTCTTGATTAATTAAAGTCTGATGGCATACGATATGTGACTTAAAGCTAGGCACAATTATTTAATGAGCAACTGCGTGGGCCCCATAAATCAGAGCGCACAGGACCAATGAATTGAGAGCTGTGATTGCTTTTATTATTAAATTATATTTGCACATTTGGTAATTACATAATCCACAGTATTGTCAATTGTGTGGCCACGCCCATTGCCCATTGGCCATTGCATGGGAGGGGAGACGCCTATTGTGGCACACAGGGGTCCAAATGTTTGCTGATTGGATTATTATTTAAACGACAGCCGCGGCATTTACTCGTATTACATTACATTTTGTCAGCTCAACGAGATGCGTGTTCATTTACATGTTTGAATATATCACATTCGTGGACTCTTCTATGCCAGTTAATAAGTTAATTTAATTTTTGCTGTAATTGTCAACGCACTTTCATTGTTTGACACTTATTGTGTTTCCTGTTGCTGCTATTGCTGGACTTGTAGCTTGATTTATGCAAATTTAATTGGTTGCAATTGCATATATCGGGGTAAGTGTGTGTAATGAATGGGACGAAAAGATAGAATATATATATATAATTTAGATAAATGAACACCTAGATAGATGTGTTCCATTCTAATTCGAATTGATTAAATACGTTTAAATATCACATTCCAAAGAATACTTAAAAAAACCCAAATACGCCTTCAGTTGAGCTCTTAAATATGCAGCAAATTCGAACGTGAAACCTTTTGAAGCTTTCGCAATTTAAAGAAGGAACTTGCCCTTAGGTAAACAGAATGCTATAGGGAAAAAATATTTATAAAAAAAAAGAAAGAAAGTAGAAAGGTAAACCAATATAATTATTGGCAATTAATGCTGGCGACGCTCTCCAAATGTGCTGCAAGCCATTCAGGAACAGACGCCAAAGCCAGTACCGTTTGTCCTGCAAATTTTAGTGAAGGTGTTGGAAGGGGAGGGGTCCTACATTAATGCCAGGGCGTCGCAGTTGCCTAAGTGCGGGTTGCTGCCGTCTCCGGCGACGTGGGTCGCGACGTGCCCCGGCGAGAGCTTCAATTAAATTTTATTTGCATAGGAAATTAACATAATTGTAGTGCAAAATAACAACCCAAAAACAAAAATAAAATACAAAAATACAAACAGAAACAGAACGCAAAAAAAAAACACACACAAGGAATATAGCAATAAAAATAAGCAGCGAACGTGACAGTAAAGAAAAAGTGTTAAATATGTTAGGAATAAATGCAAATAGAAATTTGTTGTCCAGTGCGGTAATTAAATGAATTTTTATCGAAGTGTTAAATGCTCGGTGAACCAATATCGAACTAAAATTGAATGAATAATTTGATTGCGATGCGATTAAAGTTAATCGACAATGCTTGATAAAACCTTGATAAGTTAATAGGTATAAAGTAAATCATTTGTTTAAAATTCTTGGATTCAAGCTCTTTAATAATACAAATATCCGACTTAAGCACTTCGAAGTAACAAATATTTTCTGAACAAGCTTTAAAGCTAGTTTGTGATAGCCAAACATAAAGTACTCAAGGGGTTAATTTTATGGTAGAGTTAGGCATCTCTCATTATGCATAATCAAAGTTGACTAACGTTGCCTTCAATCAAATATGGACACTAATAATGTGCTTGTCCATCGATTACACATTGACGCCCATAAGTATGCAACATCATTTGCCATGTTCAGGGACATTAATTAAGCGCTTGATAAATTTCATTGCCGCGTGCTAAAACAACATTAAAAAATTGACATTTATTGGCACCCGTAGAGGTAAAACAAACATCGATAACTACTTAAGCAGCCTGACTGCTGGCCAGCTGAACGGCCAAATTCATTAAAAAATAACCAGCAGATGCAGGACTCTCGATAGTTGTTGCTACCTGAGCGAGGACGTGCAAGTTAATGCCATTGAACAGCAAATCGAACTAAATTTATGACACACAGCAAATGGGAGCAAAAAATACAAAAAATGAAAAACTACAACAAAAAGAAAAAAGAAAAGAACAGGAAAAATGAAAAGCAAGCAACGTAAATGTCCTGTATGCAAGTCCTTTGTGCAAACAGGCGGCAAACAGACGGCAAACGCCGACGACGCTGACACTCACTATATGCCACACACACACATACACACAAACACACACACAGCCACAAAAGTAGTTGTTGCAGCTGGAACTGGAACTGGAACTGAACCTGGAGCTGGAGCTGGGGCTGATGCACTGATGTGCAATGAATTAACTTTTCAACATATTTACACACGCTCAATTGAATGGGGGAGCGGGCATAGTCGATAATTGTGGGCGAAGGGGGCGGTGCAGTGGTTTGACGCTTCGCTCGCGGCACCCAAAGTTGCTGAACAAAACGGGGCTTATAATGAGGCGCTGACGCTGGTTATTGTTGCAAGTCGTCGCAGTAGTTTCGCAAATGAGCGGAAATTAAAAACTGATTTAGTATGAAAGCTGACAGAATGGGGGTGGCTGGACAAGAATGCTTGAATGGATGTTACCTTGTGCGATAGACAGGTGTGATAATACATCATTAGGCGCATTGAGACACATAAAACAGATTTGCAATCATTACTAGAAGTTAAGTCACTCACAAAAATATGTCAGCTGGAAATAAGATATATCTACAGGCGGAAACTTAATAACTCAAAGTTAGACAACATGTCAATTATTAGTCGTGTTGGAAAATATTTTAAAAGGCCAACAAACTAATTAATTTTGTAATTGAAGACTCCCCAAAACCATAACTTACAAAATTAAATGCTTAATATGTGGAAAGAAACAGTATTTGTTTTGTAGTTGATTTTAGGCACTATCCGACTACAAATGAATTAAACCTCCTTATTGCAATTACCCGTGAATTAAACATTAACATCTGCTTGCAACTGCGTTGCGCCTATGTTGAATTATTTTACAGACAATGCAAACTGGTATCGCCTTACACAAATATCTCAGTTGGCAGTTTCGCTTCGACGCATGCAGCACAAATGCCCACAAAAGGTAACGCGCCAAAATTTATTGCCATGCTACTTGCCTCTGTCCAACAGGACTGGACGGTGGCCGGTCAGGAGCTTGCCCTCAGCCCCTCAACCCCTCCCCATATCCAGCAGACCCCTTCCCCCATATCCAGCGAGCACTTGAAGCTGCCGAACGATGAATGTGCAACAACTTTTACTTTTTTGTTTCTGCGATGCCGTCAAATGAAAATAAGTCAAAAAATAGAAAATGAATTGAATTATTGCAAAGAGCGCGAGCTGCGTTGCCCACCAGATAAAAATGCGAAAGGGTCGCTTGGGTGTCAGGGGTATTTGGTAGGGGATGCTGGGCACTTGACAGCCCCAGTGATAAGCAAAAGCCCCGGCGCGAAATGGAAATGCGATGGCGGCAAAGGCAGCGGCGATGGCGATGGCGATGTCGACGGCCACGGCGACTGTGATGGAAAACGGCAGCTTTTGCTTTCTTCTTATTATGCGCCTGGCACTTTTCCCCATCTGAGTGTGTGTGTGTGGCTCTGTGTGTGTGTGTGTGTGTGCTTATGTGTATTGAGGCTGTTGTGTTTCTTGTTTTGGACACCCTGTAGTTGTGCATTTAAGTGGGGTAGTTTGAACTTATCTTTCACTGACTGCAGATCAAATGCTAGAAATTTGGTTAGATAAAGGACTGAACGGAGCCAGAGATATTTCGTCATATTTTAATATTTCGCCAGCCGATTTCCATAAATTATAAAATGCTTCGCAGGGTATCTCTATTCGCTATCTTTCCACTGTTTACAGGTTTATTCTTGCTTGTTTCGTTGCATGCTTTTGAGCGCGACGCCGAATGCGAAATTATAATTCACACATGCGACCAGGGCGAACGACTTGTGGCAAGGGTATGAACCTGCCACCACCCTGGCATTACTCTTTGGGTGTCTGAGTGTTTTATTTTTTTGCTTTGTGGAGTCGTTGGTTGGTGGCAAGGGTTCTGGTATGCTTGGCCATTTGCAGGGTGCGTGTTCGTCGCCTGTTAAAAAATGCAATTGCCAAAAAGTAGCCAGCAAAAAGAAAGAAACCAGCAGCAGCAGCAGCAGCAGCAGCAACAGCAGCAGCAGCAGCATCGACTGCGTTGCTTGTTTGCTTTAATTGCAAATGGCATTTTTTGGGGCGCGCGCGTTACAAGCTGACCAACAGCCACCCGGGGACCCACCCAACCCAACACCCCTCCACCAGTCCCACTCAACGGAGTGGAAATGCATTTTGTAGGGGGTGAGAAGGGCGAAAACAGGCTCATAAATTGTCGAAAAATATTTGACTTGTTCTATTTTTGGTCACCAGCGCCTGCTGCGGCCAGCAATATGCTATATTCTTGCTGGCCAGCTTGCCACCCAACCCCTACCAAACCGAATCCCTGATAGCCACCCCCCCTTCTCCGCAGTCCATCGCTTTGTTCGTGTGCATGCAAACATTTTTGGTAGCAGCTACAGCTTCGGTCTCATCGGTAGCTGCCTGCACTTTTGCATATTTAATGCTTTGTTTAATGCAAATGTACATAATTTCATCATTGAGCATGCGTGTGTGTTGCGTAAGTGCAGATGTGTGTGTGTGTGTGTGCGGGTGTGTGTGTGTGTGTGTGTGTGTATGTGTGGGTGTGTGTTGTATTTGTTTGCATTTCTCTGTTTGTGTATAGTTTTCTTTTATTTCTACTTTTGCGCCCGTTAAGTCGCACAGAGATGTGAAAATATTTTTCAATTAATATTTATGTTGCTTTATATGCCTGAATTGTTAATGCCCAAGCTCAAATGCAACAATATGGCATCCTGGTAAATGGCTTTGTACAATGCTACTAGCATTTCAGCATTTGCGACAATTGCACTTTGCCTGTGGCTTAGTGTCGTGGTCAAGTTATCGGCAAAGCCATTTCCATACAAGCTGCTCACTTACATGGAGTTCATTGAACTAAAGCTCGCTGCG